GCTAGTGGAGGTGGGGTGATTCTGGTGGAAAGAAAGGAGTGGTAAACAGTATCTCATTGCAGCTGAAATCCAGGGAGAAAAGTACTGAAAAACTTTTCTCCACCAGATTTGCCATTGGGAAAGTTCCTAGGGATCTCTAGAGAGACTAGACTTTTTAGTGGTGAGAAGAAAAGCTTGACTCAGTGGTTGAAAGAAAGAATAGAGGAGGGAGGAAGACGGAAGTGCAGACCACTCAGTATGAAGAGTAAATATAAGAGAAGAGAGAAGAAAACAGCAGCCAAAGAGGAGGGTGTGTGGTCAAGGAAAGCACAAAGATGAAATGGGTTTAGCATGTTGATAGCTGGGAAAAAGGCAGGAAAGGGGGAGATTAAAGACAAGGGACTGTGAGAGTGGTGGCTGGTGGAGCAAGGTTCCCAAAGAAACAGGAAAGAGCCGAACAAAGCATGCACAATTAGAGGGGAAGTTAGGACCAATAAAAATTTGAAAAATACCAACAAAACAGAATGCAACCCAGAAAACAAACTAGTGAAGGCTGTTGTACTTTTTTCTTGGTAAATATTGTAGTTTTTTTGGAAAAAAAGGAAGAACAAGAATGCCTGGGAGAACCACTCTGTTCAGTTAAAATGAAGATTACTTTGTAGCTGAATGTAATTGAAGTTTCCTCTCTACTGTTTAAATAATGGATTTGTGCTTGGGACCATTAAATTTGGCAGAGAAATAGGCTCTGCTGAAATGAGCAGAGCAGCTGCAAATAGGACAGAGTCTTTCATGATTTTTTTAGATTAAAAAAAAAGTGTCAAAAACAGTCCTTAACAGCTTAACGATCTACCTGCACGTTCGTATTCTAGCATCCTGTCATAGCATCTTATCTGCTGGTACTGCTTAACGTCCTTGAGTAGTCTCTGTATCATCCCAAGTGCTCTGCCACATGAGCCATACCCAGTCTTTTTGCTTTTAATTACTTTTTCAGACATGAATCTCTCACTTTTGGCCACAGGCTGGCCAGGACTGTGATCCTCCTAACCTCACCTCACAAGTAAACTGTAATTACAGGTGTGGCACTACACCGGCCCCTGCTATATCATTCTTTTGATCTTTGAGTTTAATTCCCCCAATGTTTTGTAAACTCATTTCATTGACTAAGTGAAATAAAGGGAAAACAGTTTAATGTCAGTTTATAAGCACCTTCTACAGATTTCCAAGGGTTTTTTAACTATTCCTCATCAGTTCTTCTAGACACTAGTCAGAATGTCATGGGGTACACCAACTTTTTACTTGTGGACAAACTGAGGCAGACATCAGAGAGCACAGTCCTTCTGCCAGAAGTCAGGGATCCATGAGGACAATAAGCATGACCAGAGTACGTCTTCGAGATTAATTCATGCCCCTCAGCTCAGGCTGTTTCTCACATTGGGGGGGTAAAAGGTCACAGCGATTCACAACGAAAGCTGGTGTGGTCCTTGAAAGGCGGACCGTGCACTATCCGCTCACGAAACAGTATGTGCGCAAAGGGATTTTGAGTCAAAGCTGGCAATGAATAAGATCTGAAGAGGTAAAAATATGACAGTCATGAAAAATAATCGTTTGGAACCCTATTTTTCCGTTGGTTCAACTAAAGTAGGGTACTCTGCTGGGAAGCTGGTAGTTCTGGATGAAATGCTTCGAGTGGCATTTGCAACAGTTAGGTCCCCAGCTCTGGACTTGCAGGGATACTGTCACCATGGCGATGGGGCCAATGTATTACTCAGCATCCTCTGGTGAAGAAGGAACCATGCCTAGTCATAGTAGTCCATTCCTGACATCCTTTGCTAACCACTCAGACAAGATAAGTGGTACTATAATTTTCCACTGCGGATGTATATCAAATATCGAAGTTAATTTAATTAATAAACATGTCCCCTATAAATAAAAACAAACTATAGTTTCAAGACTTGAGAAGTCCTAGTGGTTCGGTTTTTTGCTGTTGTTGTTTGTTTGTTTTCTTATTCTTAGCCTTGGTTGTTTTTACTAACTTACCCAACATTTAAATTAAAAGGTTTTCTCTAAATTAACCTATTTGAGAAATTTAAATCATTATAATAATGTCCAGGCTTTATTGGTTTTTGAGAGAGAGGGACCAATTATTCCTTAATAAATTTTTTCCCATTTTTCCATAATACAACTTTTCTAGTTCACACGAAGCTTAGAGCCCTTAATATGAAGTGGGGAGTATGACTGCTCTAGGAAAACACATAGAACTTAGTTTCAATGTCTGAAACATTGTAAAAGAGAGCCCACATTTAATCTTATCTAGTTTCCACCCCAACATTAAATTAAAAGGTTTTCTCTAAATTACCTATTGAGGATTTAATCTTATATTATGTCAGGCCTTTTTTTGGTTTTGAGGAGAGGACCAATATTCTTAATAAATTTTTCCATTTTCCATAATACAACTTTCTAGTTACACACAGAGTTAGAGCCTTTATATGAGTGGAGTATGACTGCTCTAGAGGAAACACTTAAACTTAGTTTCAATGTTGAACATTGTTAAAAGAGAGCCCACATTTTTTTAATCTTATCTATTCCAATAATATATGTTAGGCAGAATTCTAAAATAGCAATGGACAACCAATTGTGCGGATTCATCTTTTTTTCATGTTCCTTTTATCTATTCATATGTGCATACAAGGGCTTGGTTTCATTTTCTCCCCCCTGCTGCCCCCACCCCCCTTCCCTTACCACCACCGCCCCCTCCCTCTTCCCCCCTCCTTCAATACCCAGCACGAAACGATTTTGCCTTATTTCTATTTTTTGTAGAGAGAGTATAGCAATAATAGGAAGGACAAGGGTTTGCTGGTTGAATAAGGGATAGCTATACAGAGGCATTTCGCTACATTGATTTCCTGTGCTGTGGGTGGTTACCTTCTAGGTTATTCTTTTTGATCAACCTTTTGCTAGTACCTGTTCCCCTTTTCCTATTGGCCTCAGTTGCTTAGGTATCTGCTTTTAGTTTTCTCTGCGTTAAGGGCAACATAAGCTAGCTAGTTTTTTTAGGTCTTACCTTATCACTTCACCCCTTTACTTGTGTGCTCTCGCTTTATTCATGGTTGTGCTATTCATCTTTCAGCTCTGTGAGTAGCTGGCATTATTTTTCCCCATTTTACCCAAAAGGTACCTGGAGCTTAGAGAGGTGAGTAAGACCCGCAGCTTATATGATGGTTGTGACCCATCTGACTCTTTTCCAATTCAAAGTCCGTTGAATTTAGCTTATCTGTCCAACTATTATAATGGCTAAAAGATTTAAAATAGCATTTTATGGAGTGAATAAATCAATCTAATTGACATATTATCACCTCACTACATGTGTGTATGTTAAAATTTTAAATCTACTTTCTTAGCAGTTTTAAGTATACAACATGTCTTATATCCAAGCTGCTATTACAATGATTATAACTGGATAATCAAATTAATCCCCCAACACTCATTCTCTATCACCACCTCCCTTAATATTCAACAGATTATATTTATTCAATATATAGATGGGTTATCTCAAATTTTTCATTTGCTAACATTTTCTTTACCTCTCCGTCTCTAGTAGTTCCCTCACTATACAATTTTTGCTCTCTCTCTCACTATGTGGTGTTATGTGTATGTGTGTGTGTAGTACACGATATGTATCTATATATCATTTAACGATAGGTCTAGCTTCCATATATGAGGGAAAACATGTGACCGTGACTTTTTGAGCCTGGTTTACTTTGCTTAATATGACTCTCCAGTTCTATCTCATTTACCTGAAACAACACAATTTCATTTCTTTATGCCTGAATAAAATCCATTGTGTATATATATCATGTTTTCTTATCCATGCATCAGTCATGGGACATCTAGGCTGCTTCTAAAGCTTGCCTGTTTTAAATAGTGCTTCAGAAAACATGGTGTGCAGCTAGCTCTGTCATAACCTGGAGTAATTCTTTCAGCTATATGCCTAGGAGTGACATCACTGGATTGTATGGTAGTTCTATTTTTGTTTTTTGAGGGACCTCCATACTGCTTTCCATAGCAGGAGCATAGGAATTTAAAGGATTCCAAACAATGTACTGTTATAACTGTGTCACCATGCGAACAATAGGACTCCAAGAACTTAATCCACCTGTTTACTCCTCTTATCTAAATGAAAACGCTGTACCCTTCAACAAGTATTCTTCCCATTCCTCTTCCCTCACCTGCCCCCACCATCCTACTCAGTTTGGCAATCTTAGAGTCCACATATAATCAAAATTGTATAATTTTTATCTTTCTGTGCCTGTTATCACTTAGCACGATACTCTCCAGATCCATCCATGTTTTCCCAATGACAGAATCCTTTCTTTTCAAGGCTGTGTATTGTGTATATTGAGCACGTATAATGACATCTCCTTTATCCATGCACTCATTTAGAGACATGATTTAGATTGATTTCTTATCTGGCCTGTTGTGACTGTGTCTCAGTAAACAAGCATGCAGATACATACTCTTCAAATACTAATTTTGTTTCTTTCAATATAGATTCAGAAGAATTGCTGGTCATATGTAGAATTATTTTTAATTTTTTTGAGGAACCTCCCATTCTGTTTTTTCTTAATGACTCAATTTACATTCCCATCAACAGTATACAGGGATTCCCCTTTCTCTACACCTCACCAACACTTATCTTTTTATCTTTTTGATAAATCCTTCTAACAATAACAAGGGAATATCTTATTTGGGTCTTTAATTGCATTCACTGAGCACTGGATCCTTCATGTTTTTGTGAAAGAGGTATGTGTTAAGATGAACACCAGAAACCATGCAGAAATGATCAGACAACCACAAGTTAACATCAGACTAAGGGAAACTTTCTCACTTATTTAAAAACTGCCATCTCCTCCTTCTGTAAAAGAGAAATGAATGAAAAAATTGTAACAATAATACCATCTTTCATAATGTTTTAAATCATCTAATAATTATTCTTGCATTATTAATTATTCTTTTCTTTGTAGGAAAAGCCATTGACAAAATCTCTACAGCGTGGAGAAGACCCACAGTTTGATCAAGTATGTTGATATGTTACATATGTTACCTGCTTTTTATGTTATTTCAAATGTACAAGAGGCAAGGTATGGCTGCTCTCTATCATTGTGTTAATGGATTCCACAGAGGATGCAAAAGTGTGGTTTTAAGAACTGTGTGCTGCAGCATTTACAGTGGTTTTTACAGATGTTCAATAGATGTCTTTTGATTTGAATTAGAAAGAACTGAAAGTGTGGTGATTTATAGGAGTAGGCCCTCAATTAATTGTTTCCTTAAATCTTTGTATTACCAGAAGAAACTGAGAAAAGCTAGTCAAGGAAAATTCCATTCAAAAACTGGAGATTTTCTGAATAAATGATACTATGCAGTGATCACATCTCATTTAGTATTTTTTGATGACTGCTGTTTGCTAGATGCAGTGTTAAGCACCAGCAATACATAACCTAGGATAAGTTTTAGCCCTTTGAGAATTCATAATCCTGTGAGAGGCTTCATAATCCTCAACTATAATTATGAAAGTGTAGGACCTTAGATTTAATAGAGAAAACAATACATAAATGGAACAATTTAGACAGAATAAATGTAAGAAAGTCTTTTGAAAATCAGTCAAGATCTCTAAAGGGACATTCAACTCCAAATAGAATGTAATAAACGTAAGTAACTGGGACCTGAACAATTCTGGTTTCGTCACATTGGGTAGTACTAGGTGTGTTGAGAACAAATGCACCTAGTTCTCTCTGATGTCTGGTGAACAGGAACATTAGAAAAGTTGGAGATTTGTTGAATGGTTTCCTGATGTGCCATGGCCTTGGGGTTTCATCTTTCTTTTGGCAGTTACTGGAGTTTGACTCAGGGCTCATGCTTGCTAGGAAGGCTCTCAACCATTGAGCCACTCCACCAGCCCTTTTCTTTGTTAGGTTGTTTTCGAGATAGGGTCTCATGAACTATTTGCCTGGGCCACTTTAAACCACCTGATCTTCTGCCTCCTGAGTAGCTGGGATTACAGGCATGGCCACAGGCACTGGCTCGTACTCAGGGGCAGCCTCATGTGACGGTGCAGCTTGGAGCTGCTCCTCAGCTGAGCAGAACTTGCTGTTCTCCAGAATGCTGGTGAGATGGAGGGCGGTCCCATCTTCCTCTGTGTCATAGTTCTGCGTTCTCTACTTATGCCACCTAGCAGGTACTGAGGTGTTTCAGAAACCCTTAGTGAATGTGTACGTGATGTTAGAGTTCATCATTTTTGGAAATGTGCAGGGGTGGCTCGTTTTCTTAGTAATGCAAATATTTAACCTCTGTTTCTATGGTTTTTTATATTCTTTGTCTGTTTATCCTATTGTTACCATCTTACCTCAAAAATACTTTAAATTATTTCCCATCTTAATGTACCTCATTCTTTTTTCTTTTTCTGTTTTTTTTTTTTTTGGCAGCACTGGCATTTGAACTCAGGCCTCACACTTTTCTAGGCAGGTGCTTTACTACTTGAGCCAACCTGCTAGCCTCATACGTTGTTCTTTATTCTCTGGAAAAGAGTTCTACATTTTAACATTGCCATTATAGTTATCCCAATAATTTAGGCATAAACACAACTTCTATATTTTAATTCAGCTTTCTATTTCTTTATTTCAACATTAGAGAAAAGAGATAGTATTGAGAATTAGAAGACCTGCCTTTAACTCCCAGCTTTGAACAGAATAACTAGATGATTTTTGCCCTCTAAAGTGTTAGCTATGGGCTTGCATATGACACTGTCTGAGAGTTTGGGTAGAAGTGTAGACTCTTGACCTTGTCCCAGAGCTACTGAATCTGCATCTTAACAAGACTTCCCAGGTAGTACCTATCTAATAAAAGCTTAAGAAGTTCTGTTTTGTAACATAACTCTATGTATTAAAGATGCTTTAAGAGTGAACCAATAGTTAGGTGGCCATTGAGAACTTGCCATAAGACATAGCATTGCCCTCTGATCTTTATTTTTTTTTTCCATTTTTCTTTTATTATTCATATGTGCATACAAGGCTTGGGTTCATTTCTCCCCCCTGCCCCCACCCCCTCCCTTACCACCCACTCCCCCCCTCCCCTCCCCCCCTCAATACCCAGCAGAAAACTATTTTGCCCTTATCTCTAATTTTGTTGTAGAGAGAGTATAAGCAATAATAGGAAGGAACAAGGGGTTTTGCTGGTTGAGATAAGGATAGCTATACAGGGCATTGACTCACATTGATTTCCTGTGTGTGGGTGTTACCTTCTAGGTTAATTCTTTTTGATCTAACCTTTTCTCTAGTTCCTGGTCCCCTTTCCTATTGGCCTCAGTTGCTTTAAGGTATCTGCTTTAGTTTCTCTGCGTTAAGGGCAACAAATGCTAGCTAATTTTTTAGGTGTCTTACCTATCCTCACCCCTCCCTTGTGTGCTCTCGCTTTTATCATGTGCTCAAAGTCCAATCCCCTTGTTGTGTTTGCCCTTGATCTAATGTCCACATATGAGGGAGAACATACGATTTTTGGTCTTTTGGGCCAGGCTAACCTCACTCAGAATGATGTTCTCCAATTCCATCCATTTACCAGCGAATGATAACATTTCGTTCTTCTTCATGGCTGCATAAAATTCCATTGTGTATAGATACCACATTTTCTTAATCCATTCGTCAGTGGTGGGCATCTTGGCTGTTTCCATAACTTGGCTATTGTGAATTAGTGCCGCAATAAACATGATGCGCAGGATGCCGCCCTCCTGATCTTTAAATAGGAAGTTCTCACATAACCGAGAGAGGACGTGACAACTTAAAAAGCCTGTCTCAGTTTAAAGCGATAACAGCGGACCCCCAAACCGTAGAGAAGCTTGACTAAATTAGTTCACTTTGGATTTCTAGTGCGGGAAAAAGTTTCAGCAATGCAACTTTTAAAAAGTGACCATATATTGTGCCTTGCTCCCCTGCTAAAAACTCAGTGCTTGCCAAAAATGGTAGTTCTAAAGAGGTAGGGACTTTGAGGGGTGACTAGGCCAATGAAGGCTGTTCCATAGGTGAGTAGGCTCTAGTGGCCAGTATTTAGAGGCTTGACCCAGGGAGATCATCCCCGTTTATTTCCATTCTAGCTTGTGAGGCACACTGTGTTCAAGGCAGTTCTTGGAAGCAGAGACGCAATGAACCCCTGCTCTGTCATTTCAAAATTGGATCTTGGACTTTTTATTGTGAATAATAAGTTTTATGCTGTTCACTCTCTCTCTTTCTCCCTCTGTCCCTCCTTCCCTCCATGTAGTTTTTTTTTCCCTTTTTTTTTTTTTTTTTTTGAGACAGAGGCTCGCCATGTAGCCCGTTGAATGACCTTGAACTTTTGCGTCTCCTGCCTCAGCCTACCCCAGTGCTGGGGTTACCAATGCCCAGCTAGTCCTGTTCTTTATTTAAAAAACCCAGAACCCGCTATTTTCAAGTGAAGTACACAGAATACAACCTATACACAAGCCATACCATACACAAAAGCATAACATTATACCATCACAAAACAGCTAAGCATAGCGCCTGTATGCTGTATTCAACCAAAAAGTTAGTTGTCTCTTAGTCTGAATATTAAACATTCTGATTATTGGTTCCAAACAGTAGGATTTTAATCTGTGTACAGAGAAAGAGTGTGCTTGGAGGATCCTTCAGTTGTTTAGATTGCATTAGTTTCACACAGTAATAATACAGGTAATTATGAGTACTTGCATAAGACTGGTACTGTCCTCTGTACTTTAAACAGCTACTGTTCCCTGTTGATATACTTGTTATCAGTTTTCTTCTTTTATTTTTATTTATTTTAGGCTGTACTGGAGTGTGAACTCAGGCCTCATGCTTTAGGCGGTGCTCTACCACTTGAGCCACTCACCGCCTAAATTTCTTCTTTTAAATGATCGTTGTACATAGCTGGGTTTCTACCTTCACTGCCTGATCCTGGAGGATGCTGTTCACTTCACTGCTTAACTAGCCCAGCATTACATTTATCTCTTGCTAGAAGTAGAAGTTTAAAAAGTCATGTATTACTATTTATAATTTATGAAAGAATCCCCTTCTCACATGTTATCCCAATCCAACAACGGAAGAACAGATACCATCATCATCACCTGTTACATTTAATGGACGTGAGACTCAATATTCTATGACTAAAACCTGAAGCAGCCAAGACTGAATGCCTTATTCTATAACCTGTTTGTTTTCTAAAACTAGGATCATGTGAATGTAGATGGGGTGCTTTCAGCAGACAAAGGACTAATATCCTGTATGGACTGTGTTTAGATTAGGGTTGCCAATAACAAAATAGCAGTGCTTGAACAAGACAAAAGTGTATTTCTGTCTCAATTTCAAGAAGTATAGATGAATCTGCCCAGGATTTATTACTTATTATATATTAGTAACATTCCTAAGGTCCAGTATAGCTGCTGGGCTCGGAGCCATTAAATCTGTATGAGGATACATAAAATATATGCAGGAAGGAGAAATGAAAAATATATTATAGAAAAAACAAACAATTAGAATTCTCCAAGTTGCGATATATACCAGTTTTGCTTCTGTGCAGTTGGCCAAATCTTAATCACATGGCTACAAGTTGTTATAAGAAAGATTGCATATTTTACTTTTGGTAACTGTTGTCCATCTAAAGTTGGGGATATTTCATAACTAGGATGGAAAGGAGGCCTGGAGGCATGACTCAAGCAATAGAGTGCCTGCCTAGCAAGTGTGAGGCCTTGGGTTCAAACCCCAGTACTACAAAAAAAAGAGAGAGAGAGAAGTAAAGAAAGAAGGGAAGCATGAGGATTGAATATTAACTACCTTTTTCTGCTATTTTACTAAAATAAAATGCCCAATAAAACTAAAAATATTTATAGTTCTTTACCTCTTTTATCCACTATGGAATTCTTGAATTTGATAATTTTCCAGCATGAATTTAAATATATATATGCTTAGGGCTGACAGAGTGTCTCAAGTGGTAGAGCACCTGCCTAGCAAGCATGAAGCCCTGAGTTCAAGCTCCAGTGCTGAAGAAAAAAAAGAAA